GGCTGATGTGGGGGTAATGATTTATTATTATTTTTCTCATCATAATAATTTATTATTTATACCCCGCCCATCTGGCTGGGCATACCCAGCCAAATATGATATGTTTAAGTTGAAGAATGACAATGGGAGAGTGTGGTAGATCACTGCCAGTTTTTGATACTTGATAGTAGATTGAGGGACACGGGTGGCGCTGTGGGTTAAAGCCTCAGCACCTAGGACTTGCCGATCGAAAGGTCGGCGGTTCGAATCCCCATGGCGGGGTGCGCTCCTGTCGTTCGGTCCCAGCGCCTGCCAACCTAGCAGTTCGAAAGCACCTTCGGGTGCAAGTAGATAAATAGGGACCGCTTACCAGCGGGAAGGTAAACGCCGTTCCGTGTGCTGCGCTGGCTCGCCAATTGCAGCTTGTCACGCTGGCCACGTGACCCGGAAGTGTCTGCGGACAGCGCTGGCTCCCGGCCTATAGAGTGAGATGAGCGCACAACCCTAGAGTCTGGCAAGACTGGCCCGTACGGGCAGGGGTACCTTTACCTTTACCTTTAGTAGATTGCAGGCTGCTGGCAGTGGGACATGCCTGCTTTAGAGCTTCTCTTGGAAGAGATTTTGACAGAGCTACAGATTATGGTGAAAAAGCATACCGTATTTTTCGCTCTATAGGACGCACTTATTCCCCTCCAAAAATGAAGGGGAAATGTGTGTGCGTCCTATGGAGCGAATGCAGGCTTTCGCTGAAGCCTGGAGAGCGAGAGGGGTCGGTATGCACCGACCCCTCTCGCTCTCCAGGCTTCAGGAAGCTATCCGCAAGACTTGGGAGCTTGGCGGGAGTGCCCGCAGGCTCCCCAGGCTTGCAGATAGCAGCCTGCATCCCGAAGCCTGGGGCACGTCGGGCAGATATCTACAAGCCTCCAAACCCGACCTGGTTTGGAGGCTGGCAGTGGGGAAAGCAGCGCTTCTCCCCACCGCCAGCCCCACAAGCTGAGGGGACAGCGGGGAGGCGGAGCACCGCCTTCCCGCTGTTCCCCAACCTGGTCTTTGGGGCTGGTGGTGGGGGAAAGCTACATAAGATGAGCATAGACAAATATGTCTTCAGTACCCACCACCCAAAAGTACAATAGAAGTTCCTTTGCCTGTCTGGAGCCTGAGGCGAGTCAGGTGATGAGATTTGGCTTCCTTTGGCTAACAATAAGCCCAGCAATTGTCACCTCTGGGAACTTCCTGGAGTCCTTTTTCAAGGGGAAAATAGCTTTGGAAAGAACGAAACTGGGAAAGGAGATATTTTATATTATTTTTAAAGCTAGGTAACTTCCCTGAGCTGTCAAGTTGAAAGGATACATTCAGGCATAATATTTGTAATATTTAACTTTAAAGATGTGCCCCCCCACCCCCCGGTAATTTCCGTAACAGGTTCTAAGTTGAATAAAATATTGGGGGACAGGTAATCCCTGCCCTGCATAATCAATCACAAAACATGGTGTGCACACACTACTTGAAGGGCAATGCCCATCAACGGGGGGGGGGGGGTGAGCCCCCTCAAATTTTTTATGTGGGGTCCGAAGGAGCCTTGGCCCCTAGGAGTTGGCTCTTATGGTTATTAAGCTTTCTTCCATTGATTTTTTGGGACTGAAGAAACAGTCCCTGTTCACATGTACACTGGGATTTTTTATATTTCATTTTAATTAGACAAAAGAGGGGAAGGAGCAAACACATTTTAATCCTTTAGCACTGGAAAGGATGATGCACCAAGGTTAAGAAGAAGGATGTCCTGAACCCTGGTGTACCCTGAGGCAAGTCCTGATAGAGCACATGGTCCCAAGAGCAACACCAGAGAGTGGTCAGACAGTCCAGGCCCAATACAACAAGCAAGGTCTGAAGTCAAACTGTAAGGTCAGGATCGCACCTCTGCAGAAGGTCCAGGGTTGGAACACCTGTGGTCAGTCCCAAAGTCATCGTCCAGTGGAGTTCCCCAAAGCAGCCAAGTCATGGTCCATCAACGGAGAAAGCTGCGCAGACCCAGAGTCTCTGGCTTGCTTCTCATTTATCCTTCCAATCTGGATGGACGTTTCTGGGTTTGCTCCAGCTGAGCAGCTATGCCTCCCCACTTGCAAAGGCATGTGATCCTCACCTGCCCTTAGCCTTATCCAACTAAATGACCACAACCTCCTCCCAGACCCAAAAATCCCCATGATCTCCACCTGGTCACTAGTGAGCCGAGCTGCATTCTCTTGCCTGCCTCAGTTGCCTGGGGTGCAAGTCCCACTGTTCCCCCAACCTCAAAGTCCGCTGTCTCTGTGGGGACAGGGGGACCTCTGGTTCTAATATGTCACCACTCCTCCTAGACCCACTGAACGTCAGCTGTCCGTTCAATGTCATCTGATGTCCCATGAGTACCCCCTAAGTCCCTAACCTCCCCTTCCCCATCTTCAGCTTGTCCTGAAGTGTATACCAGTTATGGTTACAACAGTTGCCAGGATCCTCCTATTCTGCCAGAGGAGAAGTATATCTCTCAGTAGAACCACAGGGTTGGTGGCTATTTAAAATTAATAGGCAATTTGGTGTGGATGGTGGACAACTGATGTCACATCCAGCACCCTGTTCATTTTCTGGAGGCTCAGAATGGGAGCTGTATCACCCGCTTTCCTAATATAATTCTTTCATAACAATGGCAAAAGTCCCTTTCTGCAGTGCCCCAATAGGGATGCTCTCCCTCACTACCAGCCCATTGCCTGTTTCCTCTGCCAGGGAAGCCAGGTCAAAAACAACCACCGTAAACTCTGCACTCACCACCATGAACTTTCAGTCAGGGATGACCCTGCCAGTGAGGGCTTCCTTCTCAAGGAAATTCTCTCTCCAGCACTTCTACCTCTTACTTGGGATCTACAGTAGACTGCCCAGAAGCAAATAATTATCCTTTGTTCTTCTTTCAGGAGTAATGCAATAGTGTCATATATTTAAAAAATCTCCTAGGGCCAGCCCCCTTGGCAGCTGCTACTTGCCACAGGAACCTCAGAGAAGCTGGCCCAAATCCCATGAGGCTTTGCCAAAGTTTCACAAGATGTCACCAACCCTTTGGCAAAGTCCCACATGTCTCAGCAACAATCATGACACATGACTGGGTGAGACTTTGGGCAGGAGCAGGTAAGGTATCTCTCCACACGTTCAGCCTCAGCCTTAGGCAGGCCCTGCATGCTCTGATGCTCCCAACTGCTAGGTGCTGGCAGCCGGGGCTGGGTAGCTGCCGCCATTACTTTCTCTTTTGTTTGAAGTGTGGCAGCTGCTCCATTTCAAATAAAATAAAACAAAGGGAAAGTGGCATACCAGTGGTTCTCTGCAGCTGCAGCAGGGTGCTGGCCTGGCCACGGGGTGCTCAGCCAGGTGCAGCTGCTTGCGTTGCAGCTCACAGCTGGTGGGGACATGGGGCTCAGGCTGGTGGTAGGCTGGTGCTCATTCAACCACCTTTGAGACAAGTGTGGTTAGTGGTGTGGCCAGTCAGGGAGTCCAGTTATTAAAATCACAGTTGCGATCCCTTGCCTTTGTTCTCTCCAAATGTCCACTGCAAGGCAGATTCAATTAATGAGGACTCTGGCTGACCAACTTACTGTGTGGTTAATGCTGGGAAGTTTCCTGATGTGGGGCAATGGACATGAGTGTACCTTAGAGCACTGCCACCTATGTGCAGCCTGTATATTTGTAAATAAGCTCAAACACTGCAAAACACCACACACCTCCAGCAATTTATTTGCAGACGAAACTAAACCTGAGTAAGCACTGCCCCCTCTGAAGTTCTCATAGCACAACAATGGTGGAAAATGTAACAGTCTTAAAAGGCGCATCAATGAAAACATATACAAACCTCACCCAAACTGCAAACATGTACATTTTAAAAAAACAGATCAACAACAGCCCTTGTAATGGAAACCACAGGGAGAGAACGGAAATTTGAAAGGCAGTTTTCTGGCAAGATCTCAGCTATTCAAAGAAATAAAAAATTATACTGGGGTAGTGCAAGCCCCTTGCAGAAATCAAAGTCTCTGTATCATGTTCACCGCAGCTCTTAAATCCACAGGAAATTGCTTTCCTTGGCACCTCTGACCCCTGCCCAAATATTAGTCACTGGACTGAAACTATTTTTTAAAAGCACAGTCCTTTACTCAATATGTGTTGTTCATCAATGTGCTGACAAGCCCTTTTTAAAACAACAACAACCCCTCTACAGTATTTTAAATGCTCCTTGAAGTTGATTCTTTAATGCCCCTAATAGGTTTGTTGCAAACAGGTGTTAGCATACCAGCTCATCCCACAGTGATAAATCACGATGTCAGAAGACCTCCGCCCTTGTCCTCTGGCAAGCTACATTGAGATAAGTTCATCTCACGCCTGAGATGACAAAGTTGTCGGAGAGCTATCTTGTGACGACTGCAGCTGCCCTCCACTTTGCCCAAGAGAGAGAGAGAGAGCACAAACCCCTTCACAGGGAAGGGCCACCCAGCTCTCTTTTTCCTCCTGCTGTCCTTTTCTGGCTGCATGTGTAGATGATAGATAGATAGATAGATAGATAGATAGATAGATAGATAGATAGATCTCCGCATCCTGTGAGCGGACATCTCTCCTGGTTGTGCCTGGGAGGTCTGCTTCCAGCTGCACTTTCCTTTCCCCTGAGGATCCTAGAATAGCTGCGACATCCTCATCCTTCTCCCGCTAAAGCAGCCTGGGGGCTGGGGGAGGAGAAAGCAGCGAGGAAAAGCCATTGCGAGCAGACGGTGGGCAGTGGCTCCTGCTGCTGCTGCTGCCATCTTGGTGATGGGAGGAGCAGAAGGGTGGGATTTTATGCAAGGAAGATCCCCCTCTCCTCGCCCAGCTGCTGCCAACACCAAGTTGCTTCTCGGGACTTGATTGTTGTGGAAGGAAGAACAGACTCCCTGTGAGAAAAGGGGCTTGGTAAAAGGAATTGAGGGCTGCTCCAGAACCGCCTCTTTTCATCCCCAATGTGTGCTGCTTCTCCCCAGAATTGCGGGCTGCGCTTATTGCTCTTGAAAGATTCAGGATGGAGATTCATGCTTTATGGCTGGTGCAACATCTTCTCTTTGCGCTGTGGGGTAAGTACATCCTGCTGCTATTCATTTCAGCCATCCTGTCAATGAAAGGTATGCTGGTTCTCTTTTGTAGCCGATTTCATGGTTAATATCCCTCCCCTTCTCCCCAGAATTGCACGGCTTCTCCAGGAGTCCTGCTAACGAAGAAAAACAAAGAGTTTGCTGAAGTCTTCTTGTGGGTACTTTAAAATTCCTCTCTGGGAATGTTCTGATCTTGTTTGAAGAAACAAGGCAATTCCATGGGCATAGGAGCCAACTCCTAGGGATCAAGGTCTCTTCGCTTCCCCCATAAAATATTTGAGGGGGCCAGCCCCCCCCGTTGTTGGGCATTGCCATTCAAAGGGTGTGTCTTGTGATCAGTTATGTGGGGCGAGGCTTACCTGCATCCCCTGTTTTATTTAAGCTGGCACCTCAGCATGGAGGTGAATAGGAAATGGTTTTCTTACATGCTAGAAGAACAAGAATAAAGTATTTCGAGAAATACAATGCACCCCCACTCTTCTCCAGCTTTTTTCTCGAATTGCTTCTGTTGGCAATGTTTCTAGCAGCCTGCATTCTCCAAGAGTGGGATGTTTGTAGGCGGACTCACTGCAAAAGCAGAAAGCTGGTATTGGGAGAGGACTCAGGTCTCTAGAACTTTTGCATGCCCCGCCAGGGTTACGGTAGATCAAAGGGCCTTAACTTTAATTGCGTTCCAGTGGAAATTTGGTGCAATCAATCATATCAATATTCTCACAAAGAATTAACATTCAGGGAGGGTTGCCGAATCATTGAAGCTGCAACCATGTTGTATATATAAAGAAAAAGTGAAGGCCCACCCCCAGTCAAAACTCACATGCTCCAAAGAAAGTCCTTTCTCCAAATCAAATCATTATCACTCCGTGGCTGATTTATTTAGCAGTTTATCTTATCTCCTTGGTCCAGAACATGCCTGTAGATTAACTCCAAATCAGTGAAAATCTTAAACTACAGAAGAACTTCTGCTTGTAGTGGCTGAGTCGGAAGGTTACCGATAGGCAAAGCGCTTGAACTCAGCACCTCCTGCCTCCTGGATTGCGTTTGGAACTGAGAGCCAGGTATCAGGTGAACTGCGAGTGTAGCTCCCCCCCCCCCAACCCTGGGGAAGGCTTGCAAGCACAATTACCCTCAATCATCCTTGTTTATACTCAGTGAAGCGATCCCCGCAAATGCGGGTGTGCCTCCACTATGGCAGTTAGCACCAGAAGTCACACACTGCAGACATCTTAAGCCTTCCCCCCCCCAAAGGGCTTTACAATGTTTATCTCATTTAATCTTGTGCCAGACTTGGGAATTGGTAAAGGGTGTGTGTGTGTGCAGGGCTGCCTATTTAGGGCCATTTTAAACATTGCAGAAAGACAAACTTAGGTTGGCCCGGGTGTGAACCCTAAGCAGGATGGTGGCACTTATTGCCGCTCCATGACATTTGTTTCTGTAATATTTACACATTACATTTAGCTGTGTGTTTTAATGTCTTGCTTTAAATGCCCCCCGCCCAACTGTAATGTGGAATGGCTCCTTTGGGTGGAAGCTGAGTACAAGTTCTGGTTGTTTTATCATCTGGGTTAGCTGAAACATACAGTGGTACCTCGGGTTAAGAACTTAATTTGTTCTGGAGGTCTGTTCTTAACCTGAAACTATTCTTAACCTGAAGCACCACTTTAGCTGATGGAGCCTCCTGCTGCCACTGCGCCACCGCTGCACGATTTCTGTTCCCATCCTGAAGCAAAGTTCTTAACTCGAGGTAATATTTCTGGGTTAGCGGAGTCTGTAACCTGAAGCGTATGTAACCCGAGGTACCACTGTAATTATTCTTATGAATTCTAGCTACCTTTAAATTAGAAACTTGTCCAATTGCCTTCATAATTATTTCTGCATCTATTTTCGTAGGCAAGCTGGTCACTGGTGGCTGTTTTTGACTTGGCTTTTTTCATAGTAAATAAATCCTAATGAAAGCCAGAAGAAGTGCTTTATTTGTCTTCATGGCGGGTCATCTCTCTAAGGGCAGGGATTTGCTTCCAACTCTTTCCCCTTCCTCTCTCTCTCTCTCCCCCCCCCCGCTTCCTTTGAAAGCAAACATCTGCTCCACAAGTGAGATAAGTATCTCTTGGGAACCAAGACTGTCCAATCCTGTTTCTTTTAAAAAAAATAAAATCTTCTCTTCTCTTCTCTCTCCTCTATTATCAATTACTGAGAGATCTTTGTTCCACCTAAACACTTCCATTGGCTGCTCTCTTGCACAACTGATGACTAGAGATGCAGACCTAAATAAAATTAAAAATTAAAAACCAAATTTTCATTGGTGCAAACACATTTGTGCTGGTTTGGACATATATACAATAATGCTAATATTTCCTTGCCATTTCTTTTTAAAACACACACACAAAAATCATATGCAAATGTGTCCATCCATTGGGGGGGGGATCCAACCTTGACTAGGAATAGTTTAAAAAGAATAATTGCAAAGCAGTTGTGCTTGGCCAATTTCTTCCTCACCCTGGGCCATTTCATACACGAAAAATAAATACAAATCTTAGTCACAAACCTACAAAATGCAACATGAATGAGACAAATGTGTCTGAAGTATGTGCATCATGCAGGTATACTCACCAGAAACACACAATTAGGTGCAGCTCACAGGAAAGTGAACACACAGGAAATCCAAGTTTGTTCCTATGTATTGTGTAGAGTGACACCCCCCACCCCAAAAATTAACCAAGCAACACAACAAACATGTAGGACTGTATTGTTGACAGCGTTTCATAGGGTTCTCAGTCTCCAGCCTCAAAGCAGCATCACACACCTCTCACCTCCATTCTGATCATCTGTCATTTTGCTTGGCAACGAGTTTAGTGAAAGTGCTGCCTTGAGCAATGAGTGTGCGTCTGTGGTTGGCCCCCATCACCTGTGCCAGCCTTTCCCTCCAAATTATTTGGCCATTCTGCCTTGGTCTTATGGAAATTGTAGTCTATTACATCTGGAAGACACCAGATTGGGGAAGGTTGCCCTCCTAAAAATGGAAAGTGAGCAAGCCCCCGTGCCAAAGCCACAGCACCCTCCATCCACCACTTGACCTTAGGTTTGGCAGCTAGGGGCCAGTGGGTACTTCTTAGGAGCTGGATTTGGCCCTGGGGTTTCAGCTACTGACCCAAACCTATAAAGTCCGGATGGATCAAAGTGTGCTGTGAGTACAATTAACAGCACCCAAATACCTGCAGGGTAGAGTGAGCTCAAGCCTACAAGGCATTTCTCTCTCTAAAGGACACAGAAGCAGCATCTCACTCCCAGAAGGCCATTGATAAATTTGAACAGGCCAAAGTCTGCTTGACCCAAGAGTGGTGTTCTATGAAAACCTGAACAGGAAACACACATTATAAGAATTCCTAAAAGTACATTATGAAGCACTGCTATTGATGCTGAATTAGCTCTCTTCAGTTTAGTGTTTTTACTGGAACAGTGAATTCAGTATCCATTTTGTCAGGGATTATATGTCTTGAATTATTATTATTGAATTGCTTTTAGTGTAGCTTAAACTATGCTGCAGCTCAGCAGGCTCAGTGCCAATGACTCATTTTAATAGACTAAAGTATCCCTGAGCAGATGCAGAGTGCATTTTTCTCACCACTATGCCTCCCAGTTTGGTGTCATCTGCAAATGTGACAAGCATCTCCTCAGTTCCTTCACCCAAGTCATTTATAAAGACATTGAACAACAACGGGCCCAGGGACCCCACTTGTCACTTTTTTCCAGGATGATAAGGAACCATTAATGAGTAGTCTTTGGGTTTGGCTAGCCAACCAGTTTCAAATCCACCTTACAGTTACCTCATTTAGCCCACATACCACATACCAGCTTCCTCACAAAAATATCATGGGAGAGTTTGTCAGAAGCCTTACTGAAATCAAGATACACTGAGTCCACAGTATTCTGCCGATCCACCAAGCTTGTAATAGCATTGAAAAGAAAAAAGAGATTCGCCTGGCTTGGCTTGTTTTCGAGAAACCCATGTAGTAATCACAGCATCCTTTTCTAAGTGCTCACAGACTTTATTTATCTGTTCTAGGAACTTTCCTGGAATTGATGTAGTTACCTAGGTCTTCTGTTTTTCCCTTTTGAAGATGGGGACATCATTTGCCCTGGAGATTTGAATTCATTTAAGCTAGCCTGGTGTTCTCAGGCCACCCCTTTTCCTATCTTGAGCTGCAGCTCTCTCCTTGCTTCATTTACAGTGGTGCCCCGCAAGACGAATGCCTCGCAAGACGAAAAACTTGCTAGATGAAAGGGTTTTCCGTTTTTTGAGTCGTTCCGCAAGACGAATTTCCCTATGGGCTTGCTTCGCAAGACGAAACGTCTTGCGAGTTCTTGTGAGTTTGTTTCCTTTTTCTTAAAGCCGCTAAGCCATTAATAGCCGCTAAGCCGCTAATAGCCGCTAAGCCGTTAATAGCCGCCAAGCCGCCAATAGCCGTGCTTCGCAAGACGAAAAAACCGCAAGACGAAGAGACTCGCGGAATGGATTAATTTCGTCTTGCGAGGCACCACTGTATGTTGTTTTTACCAGGTTGAGCACTGCTTTGCTTTTGGGTGAAGACAGGGGGAAAAGTAGGTGGTGAGCAGCTCTGCCTTCTCTCCGTCACCCAATAGCATTTCTCCATCTTCTCCATTCAAAGGAATCTCCTACAGTTTTACCTTGGTTTTCAAACGGAATCCATTCCGGAAGTCCGTTTGACTTCCGAAAACATTAGAAAACGAAGGTGCATCTTCTGATTGGCTGCAGGAGCTTCCTGAACTCAGTCGGAAGCTGCGGAAGCCACACCAGATATTCGGCTTCCAAAAAACATTCACAAATAGGAACACTCACTTCTGGGTTTGCGGCATTCGGGAGCCAAAACGTCTGAGTACCAAGGCGTTCGACAACCAAGGTATGACTGTACTTGCTTTTTCTTTCTCTTGCTTCAAACATAGCTGAAGAAACATTTTTTATCAGT